ACACAGACATGCTTCCTGCTTTCATGGAACCCATTTAGCATATAATTCTCTGCCTATGTGTTGGGGGAAAGATGGGTTATTTCAGAATGCTTCCCCAGGTGGTGCCTCAACTGAAACCCACAGGATAAGTAGATGCTGCCTAGCTATAGGATGGTGGGGAAATGAGGCAGAGAGAACAATGTGTAAAGGTACTCACGATGGAGATGATCAGTCTGGAGAGTGATATTATTCCTGCTGCTTCCTCCACGCCCCTAACCTTTTCACATAGCATGTTCGTCTCCTGGTTCCATTAACCATTCCCTTCCCTCAACCTTTAGACCCAGGAGTAATGACCATATTACTAGCCCAAATGCTACTAGTCACCAAAACTGTACTCCCCCTTGGGTTTTCCCTACAACCTGCATACACCTTTGTAAAAAGTCCCTTTATTAAACTTCCCTCAAATTATCCAATTTCAGTAAGCCATCTATTTCCTGCCAGCATGATGACTGATAAAAGTCTCTAAAGACAGATTTGGGAAATGCCTGTAATGTAGGGATAAGGCATAAAAGGAAGGTTGAGAGAGCCTAAGTACAGCCATTTTGACCAATACCAGACCCTAACCACCCTGAACAAGCAAGTCGCCCACTGGACCACACGAGGTTGTTTGAATTACTAAGCCAGATGCCTTTACAAACTGTTTGCACTTACCTTTCTGTGACAGTAGATTATGATTAACCTTTATGGCCTGACCTCAAGACAATGCTGGTCACATATGGGGTTTCTGAACATTTAAAAACGTTATCATTGCCCCATAAAAGGTCCCCCTCCTGCTTGTGAAAGGACCCCTACTCTGTGGAGTAGGATATGTTGTTTATCTCAAAATAAAACCTTCTTGTAGCTCGTTTGCTCTCTTCATTCCTGCAAGAAGCCAAGAACCCACTTGGGGAGTTCAGGGGGTTTTCCTCCCTTCGTTGGGGCACCCCCTGCATCATCTGCATATTTCATATGGTATTTGGGACCATTGAATTGGAGATGGTCTGGGAAGGGGAATGAAGATAAAGCCTGAGCCAATAAGCATCTGAGTGAGGCAAGAGGAAAACCTGCAAACTGGGGTGTTATCAGTCAAGAATATTTCAAGAAACTATTAATTGTATATTAAGTGCTGTGCAGAGGCTGGGTAAATAAGATGAGGGCTTTGGAATTTCCCCTGAGGAAGCCATCAGGGACAGAATCAACAATGGAGTGGTTTGTAAAGGTAGTTGGAGGCCAAGAATGCACGTTACCTTTAAAAAAAAAAGTATAATTGTTCAGGTTCCTAACTTTATCAGGGACTTGATGAAGAACTTAGGATTCTCAAGCCTTCATTTTTGAGACTTAAATATAAACATTAAACAACCACTCTTCCTTGCAGTTGTGAAAAAGCACTACCTGGAAACAGTGAAGCTAATGTAAGCCATAGAAGCGTAGAGAATAGACATTCTAAAGCAGGATAAATAATTTTCCCCTTTCAGACACTGAGACAAAGGGCAGGCTTTGACACAATCTTTTCAGTCTCTCTAAACTGAATGGTTAAGCTCTTTTACGCTGAAGCTTGCAACTAGGTTTGTCCAGGACCCCCTACTCCACATACAATAACAAGCCGTTTCAAACCAGGGTGTAAGGTATTTGATACCTAAAGCATTCTCATGATTACAATGAGTAACCAAACTCCACAGCTTGAGAAATTGTTAGAACCCTCAGATCCCTTTCTTTGAGAACAGGAGCCTGTGAAATTATCTATCCTTGATCCAATTTGGCTTTCTCCTCCCTTCCCAGTTCACTGAGCATCACACAAAAATGATTGCTGGGCACCACAGTACTAAATCTGGGACGTTAGGAAACTGTTGTAGAGAATAAAGAAGTTCCCTGGGTATCTTCCACTCTTCACTGCAGAGCAGCTACCTTGATTAATTGTTTCAGGATATCCAGTTGTTTCACTAATCCACCAGACTTTTCACCCACAAAGACATATAATATGTACTTTGAACATTTATCAAAACTGAAAAACAAAATTTGATAAACTGAGTGAGACAGAGTAAAAGTCAACCTCTCTGCAAGAGTAGAACCTGCCCCTCCTTTTCAGCCTTTGGAAGGAAGGGAAGCAGAGAGTCCCAGGTAAGCTAGCTCAGACTGCTAAAGCAGGGACAGGAGCCAGTTTGGAGAGCAAACGCTTTGAATTCAGAAAAGCAGATTTTATTCATGTTTGGTTTTTTTTGAGACAGAGTCTCGCTTTGTTGCCCAGGCTAGAGTGAGTGCCACGGCGTCAGCCTACCTCACAGCAACCTCAAACTCCAGGGCTCAAGCAATCCTCCTGCCTCAGCCTCCCGAGTAGCTGGGACAACAGGCATGTGCCACCATGCCCGGCTAACTTTTTCTCTATATATTAGTTGTCCAATTAATTTCTTTATATTTATAGTAGAGACAGGATCTCGCTCTTCCTCAGGCTGGTTTTGAACTCCTGACCTCGAGCAGTCTGCCCGCCTCGGCCTCCCAGAGTGCTAGGATTACAGGCGTGAGCCACCGCGCCAGGCCAGAAAAGCAGATTCTATTCAGGTCTATGTTACATGACCTCTTTGCACCTCTACTTACTCACCTGTGAATAGGTTTTTTTTTTTGTTTTTTGCTATGCAGGATTATTTAAGCAATGTTTAAAAGTGCCTAGCTCATAGTAGGCTGTTTCATAACACAGGAGCCTCTTTGCTTTTTACTTGCTACCAAGGCACTTACATTGTAGGGCAAGAGGCCCAAATTAAAGAGACCTAGTTTAAAACAGAGATATTGTGGCAGACAAGTGCTAAGATGCCTCCCCATGAGCCCCACCCCCACCTCTCCATGTTCTTCCTTTGTGTAATCCTCTCAGTGGCTGTGAGCAGGACCTGGGACAACTGTATCCCGCTGGCAGCCTGGCTTCAGACACTTGATGAATCAAGTAGCCATGTAAGGTGCCCCAGGAACTGCAGGTAGGCCTCTAGCCAACAACCAGTAAGAAGTCCTAGTAAGAAGGCCAGAGCCGCAAGGAAATGAGCTCTGCCAACAACCTGAGTGAGGTGTGCAGTGATTCTAAACCACCAGCTGAGCAGCAGCACAGCCGGCACCTGGTTGCAGCCTTGTGAGACCATGAGACACAGCTAAGCTGTGCCCAGACAGAAACTGAGAGAAACTTGTTTTAAGCCACTAAATGTGTGGTGATTTATTACACAACAATAGATAATACAGGTACCATCACCTTTCCACTATCTGAAGTTAACACGATAACTTCATGGTAATTGTATCATGTGCCAGCAAAATCATATGGACTATCCCAAAGCAAATCTAAATCCCAACAGTAGTATGGCTAATAAGGAGGCAGAGCTAGGACTTCGAGAACCCAGGTCTGACCCCAATGGTAAAACCCAACTTTTATAGTTTCTCTCAAGACTTAATTATGCTTCCCACTATGCCCACAGACAGTAACAAAATCACATCAGGCATCAAGTACTAGCAACATTTTGTTCTTCATTGTCAAAACCATCTTACCCACTATATTATTTTGCACATCAGTTAAAATGTTGTATTTATTTATTTATTTATTTAGAGACAGAGTCTGGCTTTGTTGCCCAGGCTAGAGTGCCGTGGCGTCAGTCTAGCTCACAGCAACCTCAAACTCCTGGGCTCAAGCGATCCTCCTGCTTCAGCCTCACGAGTAGCTGGGACTACAGGCATGTGTACCATGCCTGGCTAAATTTTTCTATATATTTTTAGTTGGCCAATGAATTTATTTCTATTTTTAGTAGAGGCGGGGTTCTTGCTCTTGCTTGGGCTGGTTTCGAACTCCTGTCCTCAAGCAATCTTCTTGCCTCAGCCTCCCAGAGTGCTAGGATTACAGTAAAATGTCTTTTATTTTAAAGTCTTTATTTCTCACTAAAGAGGATTTCTCCCCCCTCCTGGCCCGTTATAAATCTAAGGGCTTAAACTGAGTATCTGGTGAAGGCCAAAACCATTATTTTTACCCAAGACCTTTCAAACAAAGCCACAAAACAGCTCCTTTAATTTTCTAATAAGACTAAATTTATTCAATACCTAGTAAAGTTTGATTAAGTATCCAACAGTATAAAAAGTACAAACAATCTGTAGATTTCTAATATATTAATCAAAGTGCAATGACTCATACAGTACATCCTACAGGCAAAGAGAGGTGGAAGGGAAAAAAAGAAGACTGTGGTTGAGGTCTAGTAATAAATAAATAAATACAGAGTAGAGAGATCCATATTTTATTCTACACCAATACTGCAGCAAAATGTACAAAAAAAAAAAAAAAAAAAAAAAACCATTTCAAAATAACTCAGGAGGATGATAATGGCTGGACTCTTGTAAATTCACCTCAAAGGCTGTGAGAGAGCCGACCCAACCAGCTGTGTAGTCTACGCATATGGTGGCTTATAGCATATAGTTTTTTTCAAAGGAAGAAATATAAAATGTTAGAGTAAGAACTATAAAACTATAGGGTGTCCATAAAAAGTGGCTCACTCCTTATTGTTACACTATCCAATTTTTAAAATCCAGTTTAAAAAATAAGCACTGAGTCATGTCATTATAAGGCAGGCAAATGCTCCTCCCTCATTATGAAAATAAGTCTGAACTGGTGATATTTTTCTCCTGAACTTTTAGAAAAGAGGCAAGAAGAGTACTTTGGTTTGGTTCAAGTGAGAGGCTTTTAATGAGAATTTTAGAACTGAAGAACTCCAAGTTCAGGATATTTCATGGTTCAAAAGCTGACTAACAGAAGCCAACCAAAACCAACCCACTTAGCATTAACACACACCTTTTGCTTTTAGTAAATTTTACTTTAAATATAGAGTGAAAAACAATAAAAACCCTAATAGGTTAAAACAAGTCAAACATCCACTCTACACAGATAAAACCTTCACAAAGGTCAACTGAAGTAATCCAGAGCTAAAACTGAATTGTGCAGATTTTCAATGAAGTCATCAACAGTCATGTAACACAAACAAAGTCAATTATTTACATACTCGGCAAGCCCTCTAAGAAAATACGCCCCCAAAAGCATCAACCTTTGTTTTGTGCCATCTTGAAGACTTGAACATTTTATTTCTCAGACAGTTTAACATTTTTAATCAAGTGTGCTGTCTACCGTGGGGTAATGCTTTGGTACTATTCACCTCGGGTCTCACCTATCCCAAAGATTTGCCATTCCCCCAAAAAGAGCTTTCATTCTGCTTTAGAAATTTCACATAAATTAAAATCCGTATCAAATATTAATATGAAGGGAGGTGGCACAGGATGCAAAATATACAGTCAAGTTGACATCTCTGTATATTTAGAAATTACTTTTTCCTTCAAGGTATTTCTAACAGAAAGCTCAGTCTGTCCTGCTTAATAATCAGTAGTACAGGTTTGAATCATCAGAACCTTGGCAAGACCTTAATATTTCAAAATTCTTAACAATTACCTCTAGGAGCAAGTCCGTGTTGCTGAGTTATGACAACTTTATTATCATGAGGGAAAACAAGTGTAGCCAGCCATCTTAAAATATGCCCCAACCACTGCTTCTCAATATAGAAAGACTAAAACTACATACTGTTTATCATACAACAAATCCCATCACTGTCCCCTGAAATTCCCCTTAGTTTCATTCATTAGAAGGGGATTTAAAAAAAAAAAAAAGAAGAAGACTTAAAGAGCACTTTACAGCAGCATTCAGCTTTCCTATGAAATACTCAGCATCTTAAATATTATATACAATTCTTTTTTTTAGTAAGCTAGACACTGGCTTCAGAGGTTGTGGAACTGGGGGGAAAATAACCCATTCAAAACTATTCTAGAAGTTGTCTTTTGGCAGAATAGCAGTATCCAAGTTAAAAATAGGAGGGTCAGCTTGTTGCTTTGTGGTCTTTTCAAAACTTAAATCATTTTTTGTTCCCCTTCTACATAAAAACCTCAGTCACCACTCCTGAGTGGAGATGGGCAGAGGCTCTGGGCCCTGCTCCTCCGGCTTCTCAGCAGCTGCTTTCTTATTGCTGCAGCAAGGCTTGAATAGATGTGTGTCGATGAGGACTTCCCCAAAACGGCCTTTGTAGATAATCCCACAACATATTTTCTGTCTAAAAGAAAAAGTGGAGAACAAAATACATTAATAAGACAGAAGAATAGGAATTTAAAAAAAAATCTACTCACCATGATAACTAGTCCAACATAACCAAAAGGCTCTACTAACTTCTACAATCTCATCACACTCCAACCGAAAGGGCTCCTAGGCCTTTCACTTAGCTAAGAAACTGGGAACTACCCAAGGTCCCTTAAATGCCACACTGGAATCTTCTCAAACAACTAAGGGGGATATGCATTTTAAGAGACAGCAGTCAGTTTCAAAGGCTGCTCCTGAAGTTGTTAACTCTATTTCCTCTAAAAATCCACCAGCTCTTGGGGGTGGGGGGGGGCGGACGGACAGCCACCATAAACAGGTGATGCAGCCAGTGGTTATTTTAATTAAATACCGAGTAGATAAAAATATCTACTATATATATATATATATACATATATATATATATAGAATCAAATATACATAAAGGCATAAAAAGTAACAAAACCACTCATGGATCACATACTTTAAAGGAAAAAAAGACCATTTCCTGTGAAGGCCCCTGTATGCCCCTCTCCAGTCCCAACTCATCTCAGTCTTTACTCTGTTAATTTCAGGTTTTTTACTCCCTTATCTCTTTATATTTAATACTTCATGGTTTTACTATACTGTTTGTAACTCAATCATACTGCATAATTATCCATTATACATACACGGAATCCCACTGTATTCTGTAATTTTTTTGCTTAACATTAAGTAATGAGATTCATACATATTGTTATAGAGTTTATAACTTATGTATGAGATTCCACCATGTGAATACATATACCAGTTTTTTGGTTTTTTTTGAGACAGAGTCTCACTTTTTGTTGCCCTGGCTAGAGTGAGTGCCGTGGCGTCAGCCTAGCTCACAGCAACCTCAAACTCCTGGGCTCAAGCGATCCTCCTGCCTCAGCCTCCCAAGTAGCTGCGGCTAATTTTTTTGTATATATATTTTTAGTTGGTCAATTAATTTCTTTCTATTTTTAGTAGAGACGGGGTCTCGCTCAGGATGGTTTCGAACTCCCAACCTCGAGCAATCCGCCCGCCTCGGCCTCCCAGAGTGCTAACAGGCGTGAGCCACCGCGCCCGGCCCATATACCAGTTTTAATTATCCACTCTCATTTTGATGAATTTTGCTATTATAAGCACTGCTTTCACATCAGTGTATATATTCTAAAAATTTTTTCTAGTTTATATTGCTGGGATATAGGAATGGAAACATCTTCAACTTTACTCAAAAATGGCAATTATTAATCAACATGGTTCAAACTATTTACACCCATAACCAACGGTATTCTCATCACTCTATATACACTAACATTTGGTAACAAAGTTTGCTTTAGTTTTTACCAATCCAGTGGGTACAAAATGGCATCCTGTGAAATTTTAGTTTGTATTTTCTTAATTATCAAAAAGTTTGAACATGTTTTCATTTAATGGGTTCTTTCTTTTGTGTGATACCTTTTCAAGTCTTGTGCCCGGTTTTCTATAGTTTGTCTTTTTCTTCCCTTGTAAGAGTTGTTTATATATTCTAGATATTAATCCTTTGTCGGATACATGTGTTGGATATCATTTCCCTTTTATGGTGTCATTTAATCCATTTAAGTTCATAATTATAATGTAATCAAACCTGGTGTCTTTTCTTTTATGCTTAGTACTTTGTCATAAGAAATCCTTTCCCACTCAAAAGTCATATTCTGTTTTCTACTGTAATGCATCTGTAATTGTGTATGGTGTAATTGTGTATGGTGTGAGGCATCGAAGCACAATTTTTCCACATGCATAACCATGTTGTCTATAATAACCTAGCAACATTTATTCAACAGTCCATTTTCCCTCACTGACCTCCCCCCACTGTGTATCACATAACAAGTTTGCATATACATGTGGGCTTATTCTTTGCTCTGTATTCCATCATCATTGGTTTATTTTTCTATACCTGGCTAGCCCAAAAACACGTTATATTAATTACTATGGCTTTGTAATATCTTGATTTCTCTTAGGGCACATATATCCACATCTTTCTTATTCTTCTGAAGATAGATGATTATTTTAGGCCCTTTGCTTTTCTATATAAATTATAAATCTAGCTTGTCAAGTTCTCCAAATATGTTGGGGTTTTGACTGCAATTACCCTGAATCTATTAAGTGATCATCTTTATTACATTCAGTTTTACAATATCCATGAATGTGTATGTACCTCAATTTATTTAGGTATGTTTAAAAATTATTCAATAATATTTGAATTTCTCCATAAAGGACTTTTTCTTCTTTTCTTTTTATCCTCTAAAGCAGCCAGAAGGGATCCATAAAGGTATTTTAATATTTATTACTAGGTTCTTTTTATATTTTCTAATGCTATAGGAAAAGATATCATTCTAATCCCAAACTGCTTGAGTTTAAATCCTGCTGTACTTACTGTGTAATCTTACATAAATTATTTCCTCTTTGTATCTGTTTCCACATAATGCTTCATAGAGTTGTTATAAAGATTAAATAAATCTACATAAACCATCTACAAAGTACTATGTGCTAGGTGCTGTTCTAATTGTTTATTACTACTGCTACCGCCACCACCACCACCACCACCATGACCAATACTGTATTGGCTAGCATCTCCTATATAATGCTGATTAGAAATAGTGACAGTGAACACTCTTGATCTTAGGGAAAAATGTTTTCATTTTGTCACAATTAAGTATGATGTAGCCTGTACTTTTTTTGAGATATCTATAATCCAGGTGATAAATTTTCCTTCTATTCTGACTTTGCTAAAAATTGTTTTATACTTTGAAGGAATGCTCAAATCGTCAAACACCTCTGTACTACTAAGATGATGCCTTCCTTTAGAAACCGTCAATGTGGTAAATTACAAGTTTATCTTCTTGAGTTTAAACCAATTTTCCATTCCTAGAATAAACCTAGTGGCTGATCATAACATACTGTTTTGATATCAAAATTATATTAGCCTTATAAAATGCTTGAGGCCTATGCCCTATTTTATTCACAGTCTGGAAAAAATCACTGAAAGATCAGAACCACTTGTTCTTAGAATGTTTGGTAGAATTTGCCTATCTGGACCCGGGATTTCTTTGAGGGAAGATTTTTCACCACTGAATCAATTTCTTTTGTCTTTTCTTTTTTTTTCAAAGATGGAGTCTTACTCTGTTGCCCAGGCTGGAGTGCAGCGGACCGATCACAGCTCACTATAGCCTCGAATATCTAGGCTCCAGCAATCCTCCTGCCTCAGCCTTGAATCAATTTCTTTATTATGAGACTATTCATTTCAGGTTGCTTACTTTTTTACCAGAGTTTTGGTAAGATGTCTTTTTTTTTTTTTTAGTAATATATCCACTTTATCCATATGTTCAAATTTATTGGCATAGTTGTTTATAATATCCTATTATCTTTTAAATTTCAGCTTTATATATACCTAAGTCTCCTTTTTCTTTTTCTTTCCTAAAATTTCTTATGTGTACTTCTTTTCTTGGTCTGCCTTCTCTAGTCATTTTTGGTCTGGTATTTTTAAGATCCAACTCTTAGTTAGATCCAACTCTATGTTCTGCTGCATAGTCTTTCAATTCTATATATTTCTTCTCCTATCTTTAGTATTTCCTTGCTTTAATTTGCCTTGAATTTGTCTTTATCAACTTTTAAGTTAGATATTTATCAGTTCATTTACTTTATAGTCTTTCTTTTTTTTTTTTTTTTGAGACAGAGTCTCGCTTTGTTGCACAGGCTAGAGTGAGTGCCGTGGCGTCAGCCTAGCTCACAGCAACCTCAAAGTCCTGGGCTCAAGCAATCCTGCTGCCTCAGCCTCCCGAGTAGCTGGACTACAGGCATGTGCCACCACGCCGGCTAATTTATATATATAATTAGTTGGCAATTAATTCTTATTATGTAGAGGACGGAGTCTTGCTCTTGCTCAGGCTGTTTCGAACTCCTGACCTCGAGCAATCGCCACCTCGGCCTCCCAGAGTGCTAGATTACATTGAGCACCGCGCCGGCTATAGTTTTCTTTTTGTAATAGCATTAACAGCAATAAATTTTCCTCTATCTACCCTTTTAGCTTTATCCTACATGTTGTGATTTATGGTGTTTTTCACCATAAATATTTAAGTTATAAATATTTTCTATTTCACATTAGATTTCTTTTAGACCTAGGGGTTATTAACTTACAAATATATGGCAGTATTTTTTACAGACATATTTTACAAATACATGATAATATTTTTTCTATTATCATTTTGTTTTGCTAGGTATATTTTTTCCCATACCGTTATCTTTAAACTTTTATCCTCTATCTCTGGTAAACAGAACATAACTGGGCTTTCATTGATTATCCAAATTTTGGTCTCTTAAATGGAACCATTATTACTTACATTTATTGTGATCAAGGATCAATTTGGGGTTACTCTACGATATTTGTTTTTCTATTGGTCCCACTTTTTCTGTGTGTCTTTTCTCTCCTATATTGGGCCATCTTTTGGATTGGGTATTTATTCTCACTCTAATTTCCTGCACTTCCCTCCTTCTTCTCTGGAGCTTTTACACTTTTTTTTTTTTTTTTTTGAGACAAGAGTCTTGCTCTGTTGCCCGGGCTATGTTGCTGTGGTGTCAGCCTAGCTCTCAGCAACCTCAAACTCCTGGGCTCAAGCAATCCTCCCACCCTGGCCTCCCAGAGTGCTAGGATTACAGGAGTGAACTACCACCCTCAGGTTTATTTTTAATCTTTTAGTAGTTATATAGTTAATTTATCACATTCTAAAATTATTCAATATATTTATACTCAACAAGGCAAAAGACATTGAACACTTTGACTCCTATCACCTTTATTACCTTAACTTATGCATTATAGTTGTCACATAATTCTCTTATTTTTTACTACAACTATAGTCATTTTAAAAAGTCATCGTTTAAATTTACGTAAATATTTACTATTTTTTTATTGATCCTTCTTTCCTCTCAGAATTCCAACCTAGGATTTCTTTCCTTCTGCCTGTAGAATTGTCTTTATTGAGGGTCAGCTAGGTGGCAAACTCTCAAATTATTTTTCCTATCAAAACTGTTTTATGGGCCAGGAGCAGTGGCTCACGCCTGTAATCCTAGAACTCTGGGAGGCCGAGGTGGGAGGATAGCTCCAGGTCAGTAGTTTTGAGACCAGCCTAAACAAGAGTGAGACCCCCATCTCTACTAAATAATAGAAAGAAATTAGCTGGACAACTAAAAATAGAAAAAATTAGCCAGGTGTGGTGGAACAAGACTCTATCTCAAAAAAAAAAAAAACCTGTCTTATGTCTTGTTCATAAAAAATGTTTTTGCTATATGTATAATTCTAGGTTAAGATTTATTATCTCTTGGCTCACTGAAGATACTAATCTATTGTTTTCTGGCTTCCTTTGTCTATGCTAAGAACTCTAGCTTTGTGTATTTGTTGTTCCTTTGAAAAGGATGTATTTTCTTTTTTTTTCTTTTTTTTTAGGATGTATTTTCTTAAGCCAAGCCCAGTGGTGCACACCTGTAACCACAGCTACTTGGGAGGCTGAGGCAGTAGTGCGTGAGCCCAGGAGTTCAAGGCCACCCTGGGAAACAAAGAAAGACTCTATCTCTTTAAAAAAGGAGATACAGAGACCTCCTACTTCAGCCTCCCCAGCAGCTGGGACTGCAGGTATGCGCCAACCATGTCCGGCTAATTTTTTTCTATATATATATTAGTTGGCCAATTAATTTCTTTCTATTGTTAGTAAAGACAGGGTCTCGCTCTTGCTCAGGCTGGTCTCGAACTCCTGACCTGGAGCAATCCGCCCTCCTCAGCCTCCCAGAGTGCTAGGATTATAGGCGTGAGCCACCACACCCGGCCTTTATCTGACTTTTAATTTCAATTTGTTAGTTCTCCTGCATCTGTAATCTAGAAAATTCTAAACATTTTCTCTTTGAAAGTATTTTTTGCTATCCTAGTCTGTTATCTTTTTGGACTTTGGGGCTAGATTGATTGATTGATTGACAGATTCAGCATTTGGCATCTTAGTATTCCTTATTAAGTTACCCACCAATCAATGACATCTTTAAAGACTTTAAAAAGTATGTTTTCTAGCACTTATACTTTCTTTGGTGGGAGATGATAGTCAGAATACTATTCTAGTCTACTCCATGATAGGAAATTTAGGTATCTTGATGTGATTTTTATTTTAAATCCATTTTAATAGGAAGAACATACAAAATCACAATTCTTTGCTCAATTACTGCTCAATCTAATCTAGTCATGTGTGCTACAGCTGTTTGCCAAATGCCACTTAATTGCTAAGGAAGTAGGAAACCACTGCCTATAATTTAAGATAGTATGCTGGTTAGACATTTCTGTCGCCTTTACCTTTTCCAGTATGTGAGATCTAAAAAGGAAAAAACTGGTGTTCTATTGGAACCAGAAGCCATCTCTGTATCTGAGCCATCATCTGACTGGTTACTATAACATGGAGACTGAGCTGGGGAGGCACTTGAGGTGGTACTGTGAGCATCAGAATCTGCAACAAATAAAGGTAAAAAAGAAATTTTCAATTTCATTACTTGTAATGGCAACCAAACTTCAGCATAGGACATTGTAAATGAGTTGGTAAAAAAAAAAGAAACAGTAAAAAAGAATTTATTTTCTATGCACTACTGGTATTTTAAGATATTTGGACTAAAGTATATTTTTAAAGAAAATGAGGGCTTCTGCTTCTACAAAGATGGAGTGGACATACTTTCTCCCTATTCCTCCTGCTAATACAACTAAAAACCCTGGATATTATACTAGTATATACAAGAAATGAAAGACTCTGAAAGGTGATGATGACCATCTGGGGAGCTTGAGACCCAAGGAAAGATGTGGTGAGTTCCTTAATTTTTCTCAATTTTCTTTTTGCTTCATAAATCCCAGTCTTAGAGGTGAAGCAGCAGCAACCCAAAAATGCCAATGGGTGCAGGCAACCAAAAACCTAAAATCTCAATAAAAGCCTGATCTTTTTAGCCAAAGTACCAGGAAAAGGGCAGCCTAGCAAGACAGGAAACTTTTCCTAGATAGTATCACTCTATTCCAGCCCAACACCACAGAAAAAACTGTGGCCATCCCTTACCCACCCTGGCAAGGCCAAGGTGGGGTGCTTAGATTTCTACCCTCACAAGACTGTTATAAAGCACACCACCTCCACCAGGGTGGGGTCAGAGGAAGCCTAGTAGAGAGTCACTAAGAACAAGGACATCCTCACCATATGGGAGCCTGAGCTTCCCCCCAACATGCAAGTGGTATTAAGGAACACCCCCCATGACACACATAGATTATTAATGGAAGCTGAGTGAAAAACGAGACTTCTAGCACCACCTGGCAGTAACGCAGTGGTGGTGGCCCTCACCATTCTCCTACACTTAGGGGTATTCAAAAAAACCAATTAAAACATAAGGTTTAAACCAGATCCAGAGTCTCACAAAATAATCTGAAAATGTCCAGGTTTCAATCAAAAAGCACATCATTTGGCCAGGATTGGGGGCTCATGCCTGTAATCCTCACACTTTGGAAGGCCAAAGCAGAAGGACTGCTTGAGGTCAGGAGTTTGAGACCAGTCTGAGCAGGACTGATACCCCATCTCTACAGAAAAAAAAAAAAAAAACTAGCCGGGCATGGTGGCACGTGCCTTTAGTCCCAGCTACTCAGGAGGCTGAGGCAGGAGGATCACTTGAGCCCAGGAGTTTGAGGTTGCTGTGAGCTAGATGACACCACTGCACTCTAGCCTGGGCAATACAGAGAGACTCTGTCTCAAAAAAAATAAAAAGAAGAAAAAAAATCCGATCATTCCAAGAACCAGAAAGACTTCAAAATGAATGAAAAGGCAAGTACATGCCAACACCAAGATGAGAGATATGTTAGAATTAACTGGCAAAGATTTTATTTGTGTGTTTATTTATTTAAGCAAAGAATTTTCTTGGTACTGACAAAAATTTTATTTTATTTATTTATTTATTTTTTGAGACAGAGTCTCGCTTTGTTGCCAGGCTAGAGTGAGTGCATGGCGTCAGCTAGCTCACAGCAATCTCAAATCCTGGCTCAAGCAATCCTTCTGCCTCAGCCTCCCAAGTAGCTGGGACTACAGGGACGCGCCACCATGCCTGGCTAATAATTTTTTTCGTATATAGTTGGCCAATTATATTCTATTTTATATTAGAGACGGAGTCTCGCTCTTGCTCAAGTTGGTTTCGAACTCCTGACCTCAAGCAATCCGCCCGCCACGGCCTCCCAGAGTGCTAGGATTACAGGCGTGAGCCACTGCGCCAGGCCGTTTGTTGACAAAAATTTTAAAGCAGCCATGATAAAAATGCTTCAATGAGCAATTATAAACATATTTGAAACAAATGAAAATATAGCCTCAGGAAAGAAATGGGAAGTCTCAGTAAAAAAAATAAAAACCATAAAGAAAAAACAAATGGAAATTTTTTTGAACTGAAGAAATACAATAAATAAAATACAAAGCTCAATGGATGTGCTCAATAGCAGAATGGAGGGAAAAGAAAAAACAGTGAACTGAAAGAAAAAGAACAAAAGAAATTACCCAATCTGAACAACATGGGGAAAAACAAACAGAGCTTAAGACCTGTGGAACTATAACAACAACAACAAAAAACTTATATTCATGTCATTACAGTACTGGAGGGACAGGAGAATGAGAGTGAAAGTGAAAAAATACTCAAATATACTTCGACACAAGTCATGTAACAATTAACCACAATTTCCTAATCAGAGAAATACATAAATCTGGATTTTATTTTTAAGAGACACAGTCTTGGCCAGGCATGGTGGCTCATGCCTGTAATCCTAGCACTCTGGGAGGCCAAGGCGGGCGGATTGCTCAAGGTCAGGAGTTCGAAATCAGCCTGAGCGAGACCCTGTCTCTACTATAAATAGAAAGAAATTGATTGGCCAACTAACATATATATAGAAAAAATTAGCCGGACATGGTGGTGCATGCCTGTAGTCCCAGCTACTCCGGAGGCTGAGGCAGCAGGATTGCTTGAGCCCAGGAGTTTGAGGTTGCTGTGAGCTAGGTTGATGCCACGGCACTCACTCTAGCCTGGGCAAAGAAGTGAGACCCTGTCTCAAAAAAAAAAAAAAAAAAAGAGAGACACGCTCTCACTCCGTCACCCAAGCTGTATTGAAGTAGTTCTTACCACAGCCTTGAACTCTTGGGCTCAAGCAGTCCTCTTGCCTCAGCTTCCCCAGCAGCTAGGACTTCAGGAGTGTGCCACCATGCCCCACTGATTTTTTTTCTAATTGCCAAGTGAAAAGTTACACATTTGTGAATGACAGTAGCTAAAAACTTGACAAATTTGGCAAGAGAGGCCAGGCATGGTGGCTCACACCTGTAATCCTAGCACTCTGGGAGGCCGAGTCTGGAGCATCATTTTAGCTCAGGAGTTCAAGACCAGCTTGAGCAAGAACAAGACCCTGTCTATATTTAATGATATAGCACACACGATAGAAAAAAATCAGCCTCTAGTGGAGGTGCCTGTAGTTCAGCTTTAGGAGGTTGAGGGAGGAGGATTGCTTAAGCCCAGAAGTTTGAGGTTGCTGTGAGCTAGGCTGACGCCACGGCACTCTAGCCCAGGCAAGAGAGTGAGACTCTGTCCCCCCCCAAAAAAAATTGGCAGGAGACATAAAGCTGGGATTCAAGGAGCTGAGCAAAACCCAAATAGAATATACTCAACAAAATCCATACCAAGACATATAATTAAACCTCTACAAACTAAAGAAGAGAAGAAATGAAAAATAAAAAATAAAGACAAAAAGAAAACTAAAGAAGAAAAATATCTGGAAAGCAACCAAAGAAAAATTATAGCGTACCTATAAAAGGAAAATAATAGATCCTGATTTAATAAGGAATAAAAGCAATTCATAAAATGCAGAGGTAATTTTTTTTTTTTTGAGACAGAGTCTCACTTTGTTGCTGAGGCTAGAGTGAGTGCCATGGCGTCAACCTAGCTCACAGCAACCTCAAACTCCTGGGCTCAAGCAATCCTGCTGCCTCAGCCTCCCGAGTAGCTGGGACTACAGGCACGTGCCACCATGCCCGGCTAATTTTTTCCTATATATATTAGTTGGCCAATTAATTTCTTTCTATTTATATAGTAGAGCACAGGGTCTCGCTCTTGCTCAGGCTGGTTTCGAACTCCTGACCTTGAGCAATCCACCCGCCTCCGCTTCCCAGAGTGCTAGGATTACAGGCGTGAGCCACTGTGCCCGGCCCAGAGGTAAATTTGACTTAATATTTTTGCCCTCAGAAGGCTGCATATAAATTTGCAAGCCGGAAATTAAATTTTTTGGTCAAGTCACTGTGTTACAAGGCTACAGATACTGCTAGTCACAGCAAGAATGATATCATAAATAGTGGTGGACCCTACCACATATCTAATCTTTAGTTAAACATCCCCTTCTCCCAGGACAGGTGATAAAGCAATCCTCCAATCTCCAATTGAGAACCAATGAAATATTTATTAAGTATGAGGCATAAAATCCTGTGTTATATGCTGCATGGGAAGAAACAGACTAAAGAAAACTTTTTTGAATAGAGCTCACAAGTATTTTGTATTAACAAATGTTTATATAAAAGAACATAAAACTAATTATCTAAAACAAAGAAAGTACCATTAATGTTTTTAATATGCTAATTTAACAAACGAAATCCTCAAGAATATCAGGCTTTAAAGAAGTTTTAGGGAATTTCAAAATAATTAGCCAGGCATGGTGGCATGTGCCTATAGTCCTTGCTACTGGGGAGGGTAAGGCAAGAGGATTGCTTGAGTCTCAGAGTTTGAGGCTACGAGTCAGCAATGAGTGTACCACTGTATTCCCTCCTGGGCAATGGAATGAGACCTTATCTCTTTAAGAAAAAAAAGAAAAAAGAAAAAAATCTAGGTCTATACCCATTTCTCCAATTAGGAAATTGCAGCTAAATGTCAACTGAATCTTGTCAATGAGTCACACATTCATTAGTGACAAGAACTGTAATTCAAATCCAAATCTTTTTTTTTTTTTCTTTTAATACAGAGTCTTATTCTGTTGCCCAAGCTAGAGTGCCGTGGTGTTAGGCTTGCTCACAGCAACCTAAAACTCCTGGGCTCAAGCAATCCTCCTGCCTCAGCCTCCCAAGTTGTTGGGACTACAGGCACGCACCACCATGCCCCATTAATTTTTTCTATTTTTAGTAGAGAAAAAAGTCACTTGATCACTCTTGCTCAAGTGATCCTCCAGCCTGGGCCTCCTAGAGTGCTAGGATTACAGGCGTGAGCCACCGTGCCCGGCCCCAAAATCTTTATATGTTAAGTTCTAGGCCTGATGTCTTTCTAGCACACCACAAAAGAATGTTTCAAGAATATATAAGCTGGGTATGTGCAGGATGCATGGAAGCTAACACCAACCAGAGACAGGGAGACCATTTAATGTGTTATGTTGCACACATGTGTTAGCAATTCACAATGTACCTAAGGAAACCCAGTTTTAGTTTAAACCTCCAAAATCCACATTTCTTATCAAAGGGATTATTTTTGATCTCCAACCACTACAGAGCACAGTTTTATCATAAAACCCTAAAATTACACTGGACATATTCCCTTAAGGCAAAAGTTAGTCAGAAATCACCTTCCCTGTAATTAAGGGAAAGAGTTAAAAATATACATAGGCATAATAAATTTCCCTACCTTCAAGTGATAGAAGAAACTTACTATTGCTTAAATGTTCATTAAAATATCCTGTGAGAGTGGAGGGTAGAGTTAAATGCCTTTTGGGGATATGGGGAGGGTTGAAAGCTGGTTAAGAAAGGAACAGGTGTAATTCAAACACACAAATACACACACATTTGTGTTACCTAAATATTTTACCATAAATATAAAAATATTTTCACCAAATATTAAATATGTCATCCAAACAACTACAGATAGACTCATTAAAAATATATTTATTCAAGAGCACATAGTAGCAGATCTGGAAAGACAAAATCCTGGGGCACTGGTTAAACTACCCAGAGAGCAGAGTGGTATTACGGAAAGAGTACTGGGGTTTGAAGTTAGAAAAACCTGCGGTCAAAATCATCTCTACAGCACTTACTAAGTGATGCAGGTTAAGGTTCCATCATCCCTCTGTGCTTCCTGTCCTAAGCTCTAACATGGAAATAACTGAGATAATTGTGTATGTAAGGTGCTTAGTACATATATCAAAATGCTTAAAAGATGAGTGAGTTCTTCTTCACCCCCCACTGTACCCAGTCAGTACACTAAACTTTTTCCATTGTTCTAAAACAAGGATGACAATCATTTGTCTTCCTTGGTAATATTTTGACTAACAGAGTCCACAGATGAGTAAAAAATACCGAAAGCTCTAATATAGGTCCACAACACTTGTCCACAATTCTGAGAAAGCTCTGAAAACACAAAGCTTATTCCCAACATATTTGGTCACAAAATCTGGCATGACCAAACTATGTTTGTAAGTAGACAAACCTGACTAGCCTATTTATAGTCCGTTTAACTCACCGAATATGACTATTCCTACATTTGTTATAGAAATACTAACGTGTTTGATTGAATAGTGCTGCCTCAGACCCCCCTAAGGGTGATACAGATATTATACAACATTATATGCAGTATATTTCCTTTTCCAAATCCGAAATCTAAATTCCAAAATATAGATGTACTACCACAGTACTGTCCCCAACAAATTCCAATAAGAGTAATGGAAACCTGACATTAATTGACATTCCTTTCTCATTTTATCCACCCACACAACACACACCACCCCTTAAACTTGAAAGGCCTGAGGCTGGCTTTATTCTAATATGTGAGTTATGATTTCTAAGGTTACTTTCCAGAAAACCTGGGCTTTCATCTCAGATTGTCCACTAATTATTTAAATACATTCCTGCACATCTCTAGGACATGATTTCCTGATGCATAAAAACCAAATAAACAAGCTAGAAATGCACCTTCTAGAAAATTAAGATGTTGATAAAAACATCAGAGTGGTCTCAGTACAATTTAAAGATATGGCTAGCTGGTGAAAGTACTCTCATGACATCAAAATCAGATATAGTTCCAAAATTTCATAGAAATAAGATAACATCTCCACCAAGTCAACACCGCCTTTCAGCACTGGTTTTAAAAAGTAATAGAGAACAAAACGATACACACACACACCATATACCACCCCCAGGCAAAAATAAAAACAATTATTTTAAGTACTAACATTTTAATATCACAACTTACTATGACGTTTAAATTCCTTCTGCAGTTTACTGATCTGGTTGCTTTTTATCCTGTTTCCAGACAGAGTTTTCACTTTCTTTGGTTTCAATGTAGTCTTTAGGCTGGGTCCTGCCCTTGCATCTACCACCTGGAAGAAAATACTGATTATTTAATATCATTTAAAAAAATTACACCAATGCATCCCTCTGGTTCCAACCCATGCCTATTTGAGGGAGCCCTGCCTCCTAAGAACTGAGAACCAGTTTTATACTCAAAGGGTGTTAGAGAGTTCATGTGTACTTTTCGTCATCACATGATATGGAAAAATAAATTTTTTAGGCAGGGTGCGGTGGCTCACGCCTATAATCCTAGCACTCTGGGAGGCCAAGGCGGGCGCATTGCTCGAGGTCAGGAGTTCGAAACCAGCCTGAGCCACAGGAGCAATGAGGCAGACCCCGTCTCTACTATAAATAGAAAGAAATTAATTGGCCAACTAATACATACAGAAAAAAATTAGCCAGGCATGGTGGTGCATGCCTATAGTCCCAGCTACTCAAGAGCCTGAGGCAGAAGGATTGCTTGAGCCCAGGAGTTTGAGGTTGCTGTAAGCTAGGCTGATGCCACAGCACTCACTCAAGCCTGGGCAACAAAGCGAGACTCTGTCTCAAAAAAAAAAAAAAAAAAAAAAGTAAAAATTTAAAATAATTAAAATAAATACATAAATAAATAAATTTTTCATATCCTATTTATCTACTGGGGTTTTAATTTTTTTTTTCTTGAAGTGGGCAATAGCAGGAGTCTACTAGAAAAAAATTCTAAAAAGACTTATATATGGGATAATCATTATTGGATAACCCAACTAGGTTAAGATTCAAGCCTAACAACTAACATTTCTACAGGATGATATTTTGCAGCTTACAAAAAGCTTTCATGATACTTTTTTTTTTGAGACAGAGTCTCACTTTGTTGCCCAAGCTAGTCTGAGTGCCGTGGCATCAGCCTAGCTCACAGCAACCTCAAACTCCTGGGATCAAGCAATCCTACTGCCTCAGCCTCCCGAATATCTGGGACTACAGGCATGCGCCACCATGCCTGGCTAATTTTTTTTTATATATATTAGTTGCCAATTAATTTCTTTCTATTTATAGTAGAAACGAGGTCTCACTCTTGCTCAGGCTGGTTTCGAACTCCTGACCTCGAGCAATTCGCCCGCCTCAGCCTCCCAGAGTGCTAGGGTTACAGGTGTGAGCCACCACACCCGGCCTCATATACTTTTGATTTTACCTTTCCCACAAAGCAGTAAAGGGGCTATTTTTGTTACTCCAATTTTAGACCAAAGGAAAATAAGGCAAGCAGTGGTGTGGACCTACAGTCTTAGCTACTTGGCAGGCTAAAGCCAGAGGATCACCTGAGGCCAGAAGTTCAAGACAGGCCTAGACAACATAACAAGATCCAGTCTCTACAAAATATTATTTAAAATTAGCAGAGGTCAGTAGTGCATGCCTGTAGTCCTAGCTACTGGGAAGGCTGAGGCAGGAGTACTGCTTTAGCCCAGGAGTTCAAGGCTACAGTGAACTATGATCATACCACTATACTCTAGCCTGGGCAACGGAGCTAAGACCCCATCTCAAAAAAAAAAAAAGAAAACAAGGCATAGAGAACTTAAGTATTTTGCCTTATTTCACTAAGCTAATAAATGGGTATGGGTGGGTAGAGAGGAGAAAAGACTGAAACCAAGGTCTTCGGACCTATTCTTTATACTTTTTTTTTACTATACATCTTAATCCCTGAGATCAGTCACATGATGGTAGCAGCATGTTCTTCTACAATCTAGCCCAGCTATTGATCTAGCCCTGTATAGTCCTATTTCTCATATATTCACGCACTTACTATTTGCAGATTTCCACCCTATGTAAAAAGGAAGATTTTCTACCTTCAAAATCACAACCCATTGTAATAATTTAACATTGTCACCAAAGGACAGTATAAGGCTAGTATGGCAGAAAAAGCAAAGAAAACCTGCCTACTTAAAAAAATTTTGTGTAAAGTTCATAAATCTTCTGAAAACTAGCATACAGAAAAATTAATTAAGACTTAACAATGTTGGCCGGGCACGGTGGCTCACACATGTAATCCTAGACTCTGGGAGGTCAAGGCGGGAGGATCACTCAACGCCAGAGTTCAAAACCAGCCTGAGCAATAGCGAGACCCTGTCTCTACTAAAATTAGAAAGAAATTAATTGGCCAACTAAAAATATATAGAAAAAATTAGCCAGGCATGGTGGTACATGCCTATAGTCCCAGCTACTCAAGAGGCTGAGGCAGAAGGATCGCTTGAGGCCAGAAGGTTGCTGTGAGCTAGGATGACACCACGGCACCCTAGCCCAGGCGACTTAACAGTGTTATTCTGGTCATCAAAAATATTTTATGGGGCGGGTGCAGTGGCTCACACCTGTAATCCTAGCACTCTGGGAGGCCGAGGTGGGAGGATTGCTCGAGGTCAGGAGTTCGAAACCAGCCTGAGCAAGAGCGAGACCCCATCTCTACTATAAATAGAAAGAAATTAATTGGTCAACTAATATATATAGAAAAACTTAGCCGGGCATGGTGGTGCATGCCTGTAGTTCCAGCTACTCGGGAGGCTGAGGCAGCAGGATTGCTTGAGCCCAGGAGTTTGAGGTTGCTGTGAGCTAGGCTGACGCCAGGGCACTCACTCTAGCCTTGGCAAAAAGGCGAGACACTGTCTCAAAAAAAAAAAAAAAAATCCTTCTAAAAATATTTTATGAAGAACTCTAGTGACATAGGAGGGTGAAAGGGCAAACAGAACACAAATTAACATGCCAGCTTGATCTCAACTAGATTTACATATAGAAAATAACAATAGGTTCTAACTGAGTAATCACCATGTTATACTTTATAGATACCATTTTATTCAGTTCTCACAATAGCTCTATGAGATAACTAGTATCTTTACACTTCATAAATAAATATAACCTGCCCAAAGTCCACAGCTAGTAAGTGGTGACAATAAGATTCAATTCCAAGTCTGATTCTATTTTTTTTTTTATTTTTTCTTTTATTTTTTTTTTTTACAGGCTGTCATCACAGAATACCAAGTCTGATTCTAAAACCTATGTTCTCACTGGTACCAACCTGAGTTCAAAGGAAGATGTTATTGTAAGAGATTTAAAAAAGAATCCATGTCTAATTAACTCTGGGAATTATTGGGTTAAACCTAAAAATATGTGAAGGTGCACTGTGAATCTCTAAAAGGGGGATATTGGATACACACTTAGAGAAATGCTACACCAGGCTATTCTGTTCCAAATATGCCCAAATGTTAAGTGATTATATCTGACCAGTAGATAGTGTTTTTCTTTATTCTTTTTATATTTTTTTCTACCCTAAGGATATATTACTTCCTAAATTGGGGGAAATTAATGTTACTTTAAATAAAATAGAGGTATAATTGAGAAAGAAGAAAGATTAACTAACATGATTCCAGTTTTTTTTTGATCCTGCTGGCAACTTCTTCCATCTTTTCACAAGCAGGACACAGGCATTGCAGATGTCTCCCGAACGAGTTTCATGCAACCTGATAAGAAAACAATCAAACCTTTATCAGTGTCCTTTACCTTAAAGAATTTATGCAAGTACATTTCTTCTGGAAAAAAACTTTATCCATTTATTGCTTGTAGATACAATGGAATCATCATGGAGGATCTAGTTCCATTGTTTCTATAGTATATTTCAAAAATATAATTAACTTCTAGATCCAATGAACCAATTCTATGTACTGCAATTCAGTCATTTTAAAATAAAATAGATTTTAAAAATTAAATAACAATAAAACTTACCTAAAAAAGATGGTTTTCTATAATGCTGTCTAATCTTTTGTGAAATTTGTAGATATTTCATAAGCAATAAAATGCCACCCTTTGAGTATTAATAAAATAATATGTCATGATATTCTAGTTTCACAACAAACAAAACCAGAAAGGCATTGTAGTTTTTAAAAACATGATTATATTGCCAGGTGCCTGTACTCAGGCGGCTGAGGAAGGAAGATTCCTTGAGCCCAGGAGTTTAAGGCTGTAGGGTACTGTGAACAGCCACTTCACTCCAGCCTGAGCAACAAAGCGAGACCTCTCATCTCTTTAAAAAAAAAAAAAATTATATTTCCAAGGGGGGAAAATCTAAAGGACTAAGTTGCCAAGTTGTTTTTTATATCTCTGAGGAACTTTTACTTACTACTTTTCCTATATTATACATACCAACAAATATTAATAATATATATTATATATAAAATTGGAAATGAAAACATTAAAAGAAAAATGTAGGCCAGGAGCAATGGCTCACACCTGTAATCTCAGCACTTTGGGAGGTGAAGGCAAGACATTCACTTGAGCCCAGGAGTTTGAGACCAGCCTGGACAATATTGAAACTCCATTTCTCCAAAAATAAATATAAAAATTAGTTAGGTGTGATGGCACACAAGTGTAGTCCAGAAGGCTGCAATGAGGTATAATAGCACCACTGTATCCCAGCCTGGACAACAGAGACCCTGTCTCTTGAAAAAAAAAAAAAGGGTGGGGGGGGATTTAAAAAAGGCTTGATCAGAATAGAGTTTTAGACAACCTTCAAAAAAAAAAAAACTACAGGCAGGGCGCAGTGGCTCATGCCTGTAATCCTTACACTCTGGGAGGCTGAGGCCAGGGGATGGCTTGTGCTCAGGAGTTCAAGACAGCCTGAGCAAGAGTGAGACCCCATCTCTACTAAAATAAAAAATTAGCCAGGCATGGTGGCACATGCCTGTAGTCCCAGCTACTCAGGAGGCTGAGGCAGAAGGATCTCTTGAGCCCAGGAGTCTGAGGTTGCTGTGAGCTAGGCTGACAGCACAGGCACTTTAGCCCAGGCAACAGAGTTGAGACTCTGTCTTTAAAAAAAAAGAAAAAAAAAAAAAGGCTGGGTGTGGTGGCTCTTGCCTATAATCCTAGCTCTCTGGGAGGCCAAGGGCGGAGAGATCGCTCAAGGTCAGGAGTTCAAAACCAGCCTGAGCAAGAATGAGACCCCGTCTCTACTATAAATAGAAAGAAATTAATTGCCAAGTATACAATATTATATAAAAATTAACGGGCATGGTGGCGCATGCCTGTAGTCCCAGCTACTTAGGAGGCTGAGGCAGCAGGATTGCTTGAGCCCAGGAGTTTGAGGTTGCTGTGAGCTAGGCTGATGCCACGGCACTCACTCTAGCCTGGGCAACAAAGTGAGACTCTGTCTCAAAAAGAAAAAAAAAAAAAAAAAAAAAAGAAATGGCTCAAAAATAAGCATTTTATTTTATCCAAGTATTTGTTAGAAAAATTCCATTTTATTAAGCAGAGGTCTACTGTCAGAAGATAAATGAAAAATGAAATTATAAAATGAAAGCTCACATACCCTGACTGGTTTAAGGGTAGAACATTAAGATTTTTAGTATCATCTTCCTCAGCAGATTAGGTTAAAATATATTTCTATTGTTTACAAAAATAATACAAAGGCAGAAAAATATTGGTGGATGACTGTGATATGACAGAATATGGGTAGTTTTAAAAAACTCCCTTATACCTGCAGTCCCCAACCCCTAGACCGTGGACAGGTACTGGCCTGTGGCCTATTAGGTATCAGACCACACAGCAGGAGGTGCGCTTCGAGCTTCAACTTCACTGGAACATCAGCTTTATTCCAGCTTCTTCAGTATTTACAGCCGCTCCCATCACTCCCATCCCCACATAAGCCCCGCTCCCTGTCAGATGTCGGGGGCAGGAATAGATTCTCACAGGAGCTCAAACCCTACTGTAAACTGCACATGCAAGGGATCTAGGTCGCATGCTCTTGTGAGACTCTAATGCTGATGATCAGAGGTGGAGCGGAAGCAATGATGTTAGCGCTGGGGAGTGGCTGCAAATACAGAAAGGTCTGACTACACAATAAACATAATACACTTGAATCATCTGAAAAGCACCATCTACCCCACTCCATCCATGGAAAAATTGTCTTCCACAAAACCAGTTCTCTGGTGCCAAAAATGTTGGGGACCGCCTAAGTTAACAATAAAAGGATATGTCTTGGTACAACTATAAGGGGCTCCACAATTAATGTGGTAGCTCCTCATAATCTGGAAAGAAGTAGGCTGTCAGTATTGTTTGATTCATCTTAACAATAGGAGCCTTAAATAGCCTAGATTAGAATGTAAGTGATTTTAATTATCAGCACACTGTTCCAATTGCCTTTCTTGGAAATACTTCCATATGCTGTGATTTTTTCTCACTTTGAGAATGGTACAAACAGCCGGGCATGGTGGCTCACACCTGTAATCCTAGCACTCTGGGAGGCCAAGGCGGGCGGATTGCTCAAGGTCAGGTGTTCAAAACCAGCCTGAGCAAGAGCGAGACCCCGTCTCTACTATAAATAGAAAGAAATTAATTGGCCACTAATATATATAGAAAAAAAAATTAGCCGGGCATGGTGGCGCATGCCTGTAGTCCCACCTACTAGGGAGGCTGAGGCAGGAGGATCGCTTGAGCCCAGGAGTTTGAGGTTGCTGTGAGCAAGGCTGACTCCATGGCACTCACTCTAGCCTGGGCAACAAAGTGAGACTCTGTCTCAGAAAAAAAAAAAAAAAAGAATGGTACAAACATCAGGTGATCTTACCCAAAACAGCTCTGGAAGTCCTTTTCGTAGCGTTTACTGTCAGTGAATCGAGAACTGGAGGACTTAGCTCTGCAAATACAGCAGCCCTCTATACTTCGGTACATCTTTGGCTTGTGGAAACCAAACATCTTTTCTTCTGGGCAACAGTCTGTAAGGCCAAAAGAATTGACACAGCTTTGTTGAGGGCTAAAACAGGAAACCATTAAGAGTTCTCTCTGCTCCATCCCACCCACAAGCAACTTGGTGCTATATAACCAAACCAGACAGGGGGACTCTGGGGAAGACCCTCCTAGATCTACCTCCATCCTTGGCACTATCATGGCAAGTGTATAAAACATACAGAATAGCTCAGTTATTTAAGGAGTTTCTACTACTAAGAAACTACTAAGTAGTTTCTACTACTTTCAACTCTCCTAGCAAACATTCTGAAAATGGGCAAAGGGGAACAGTTTTTAAAAATCAAGTTTTTAAGCAAAAAATACCACATACTCCCCACACACAATCCTATAAAATGAGAAGATCATATATAATCAAGGATGCACTCTAAAATTTAAATATGTACCTTTTTATTTTGTACCTCTGCATTAATGTGCTTCCCCTGTGGGAAAGTTCTAAGTATTTACCATGACCACTGTTTTATACTAAACACACAAGTAGCTCACTGTGCATCGACCCACACTACTTTGCCTTATGGGAAATCGGAGGGGATTTCTTCTGTGATAAATGGGAAGTTCTAAGCAGTGAAGTCTGGCCATGAATTGAAACTGAGAGGATGTAAAATTCACAAAAATTCCAAATTAGAATTTAAGAATAATTCCATAAAAGATTAAGACGAATTAAAAATGCTGCCTGACCATTGCTCAGCCCCTCAGTTCTTACAGAGGTTTTTGGATCTCTTCTAAGAGGCTTTGTGCCCGAGGGCAGTAATAGTGGGAGACAAATGTCCAAGAGATATGGAAGGAGATAAATTGTAGTTCCCCTACTCAAGAAAAAAATCTCAACATAGGCCAGGCTTGGTGGCTCACACCTATAATCCTAGCACCTGGGAAGGCTGAGGCAGGAGAATGGATCACTTGAGCCCAGAAGTTTGAGGTTGCAGTGAGCTATTATCATGCCACAGCATTCTAGCCCAGGGGACACAGCAAGACCCTGTTTCAAAAAAATAAAAAATAAAAACAGGTCTCAACATCAAGGAAGGAAAAAAGAAACAGCTCTAGAGCTGGATGCAAAAAATATGGCTGGCATTAAATCTGTACCTTAGAAGTAATTTGGAATATCCAAACCAAGGGCCAATTTCACCAGAATATCTAGACTAAGAGAGGCGGCAATGAATATAGAAACTAAACTCCATTGGACAAGTCCAGAGGATGTGTGTGTGCGCGCGTGTGTGTGCGTGTGTGCATGTGTCTAAGGATACAATCACAAATAATCACAAAAGTATAATATAAAGCACCAGTAAAAGAAAAATATTAATACCAAATTACCTTTATGCTCAAAGTTTTAGAAATAAATAAGTTAGGCCGGGCATGGTGGCTCATGCCTTTAATCCTAGCACTATGGGAGGCCGAGGCAGGCGGGTCGCTCAAGGTCAGGAGTTCGAAACCAGCCTGAGCAAGACACCCCCCACACCACCAAAAACAGAAAGAAATTAATTGACCAACTAAAAATACATATACCAAAAAAAATTAGCCGGACATGGTGGCACATGCCTGTAGTCCCAGCTACTCGGGAGGCTGAGGCAGAGGATCACTTGAGCCCAGGAGATTGAGGTTGCTATGAGCTAGGCTGATGCCATGGCACTCACTCTAGCCTGGGCAACAAAGTGAGACAAACCACTTCAGTACAGTCACACATCGCTTGATGATTGATGAGATACATTCTGAGAAACGTGTCCTACCCATCCTTGCACAAACATCATGGTGTCTACTACACAGCCTACATACACCAAGGCTATATGGTATACCCTCTTGCTCCCAAGCTACAAACCTGTACAGCATGTTACCATACTAAACACTGCAGGCAATTGCAACACAATGGTAAATATTTGCATATCTGAACATAGAAAAGGTATGAAAGAAATATGGTATTATAATCTTATGGGACCACCTTCATACATGCAGTCTGTCGTTGACTGAAACGCTCTTACGTGGCCTATGTATTTCTCTTCGGGTTATCTCTTGCCTGATCCTATCCATTCCAATTCTGGTTAGTTCATCAGGGCAAGCATTAATGAGTGATTCAGAGAACCAAATAACCAGGCTTTTTTTGTTTTTGTGTCTATTTTTTTGAGATTGAGGGGTTTTGAAATATGGGCAGAGGTTTTATAATGTTTTTAAGAAAATATTTTTAAAGATTTTTATTAGCAAAATAATTAGCTAAAAATTGAAGCTTTCCTTTTAAACACGAGCTATGGTTAATGAAGTATTCCTCTTCAATGTTTTCATTGGTGAGGAAGGCAGGCAAATGAGTAGGATGGGGCAAGGCAGAAGGCCAATGATGCATTTCAATAATTAAGTCTAAACTAATAGTTACCACTAAGAATTATTAAAACAAGAAAACAAAATATTCTTAGTTGATAATCATTTAGTTAAATGTTCGGGAATGTGGTCTTTCTGAAAGGAAAAAAATGAGGAAAGTACCCTGTATGTAGTAAGAAAAGGTATAGGGAGGACTGTTAAAATGAGGCAGATATTTCTTCTTCAATCTAACAAATCCACATGATAAATGAAAAGAAAATGGCCTCCTGAAGAAAATGGTCACATGTTGCTTTGGAAAAAAACAATGTCAAATGACAGAGGACCGAAGAAACAAGAAAGCAAAGTAGGCCCGGCGCAGTGGCTCACACCTGTAATCCTAGCACTCTGGGAGGCCGAGGCGGGCGGACTGCTCGAGGTCAGGAGTTCGAAACCAGTCTGTGCAAGAGAGCCAGACCCCGTCTCTACTAAAAATAGAAAGAAATTAATTGGCCAACTAATATATATATAGAAAAAAAATTAGCTGGGCATGGTGGCTCGTGCCTATAGACTCAGCTACTCAGGAGGCTGAGGCAGCAGGATTGCTTGAGCCCAGGAGTTTGAGGTTTCTGTGAGCTAGGCTGACGCCACGGCGCTCACTCTAGCCTGGGCAACAAAGTGAGACTCTGTCTCAAGAAAAAAAAAGAGAGAAAGCAAAATAGAAGTTATTGCTTTAATTTGTATATTCCTATTTTTAAGGCAAAACATAATGTAGTTCTTCTTGTCCTTACACCATCCTGTGTTCTTCTCCAAACTCCCCTAACAACACCCTGCATTACCATCAAGAAGGTCTCAAGTCCACAGTTCCTCTTATAATCTCCAGCTTCACCAATAGCTCTAGGGAACTTCAGCCTCCCTTCTCAGCAAGGACAAGGGAAGTACAACAACAAAAAAAAGGCCAGTTCCTTCTATTAACACATAGACTAAAACTTATTACAACAGATAGATTCCTATCTCTAACCTCACAATCCCTTTTCTTTTCCCCCAAATATATTACCAAAAATCATACAGCATTCAAATCATCTCTAAGATATGAACTACCTTCACTGGGGCAGGATTTGACCAAGAAACCACAGTTTGTGCCAGTTTTATCACAACTGTTAAGGAATGCTATGGCTATAGCTAAACACTGAGGCTTTCCTTTCAATCACCAGCTATTGTGAATCAAGTGTTCATCTTCAGTGACTTTTTGCTGGTGGGGACCTCCACAAAAACTTACCCACCAGCCCCTGGCAAGACATTCCATTCTTCATTTGAGGCATATTCTTCTTAGACATCAGAGAAAATTGCCTGATGTCTTATGATTCGTAATCCTTCTTTATGTAGCTGTGACCTTACTTTTGTCCTAACAAAATTCTTCTTCCTGAACATCTGAAAGGGATCTAAACCCTAGGGTTCACCCTCTTCTAGGCAGTGCTCAGTGAGAAATGCAATAAGGTAGCAGACACTTGTCCTGATGCAACACACCATAGCGCATGAACCTTTGAATGGATGACTACTTAATAAACCTTTTCTGAACTTATCTCCACACTTGAGAGGCACCTGGGAATCTGCAGCAAATACACAGGGATTTCATTTTGGGCTTTGTTTACAGCAACCCAGTTAAGCTATGCTGGTGTTTAACCATTGTGAGGTTTGGGGAGCCCTGATGTTGAAGTATTTTCACAAAACCTACAAATTCACTAATGCTTAAAAAATACTACCTACTCTGGAGGGAAACCAAGGACACAAAATTAACCTCTCAAACCAAGTTACATTATATATTTGAGAGGGTGGTGGGTGGGAATAGCACAATTTGATTTTAAACTGGAGATCTGAGATTTCTGTTATTTCAAGCAACCTAATGGTCCTTTACAATATTTCTTTCCTAGTCCCACATTTGTGCAATATTAAATGACTCCTCCAGAACAATCTATCTTGTTTGTTCAAAGGACATCATCAGCTAATTTGTGAGTTTTGCATCCATTCACATAGGTGTCACATCATTCAGCACTATGTTCTAATAGAAGGAAGCTAATACCATCTGCTTCCTTATTGATGAATAGTTAAGAGTTGAGAGCAGATCCCATACAATCTCACACTTAAGCATGTGTTTGGGGAAAGCAGAAGAAAATTAAGCTTTGAGATAAAGCCAAAAATCAGGAAGGACTTAAAATACTGATTGAAAACTGTCATTTGTCTTCTAAAATTAAATAATAGTGAAGGTTGTAAAACTGTGAATATACAAAAAGTCACTGAATTGTATATATTACAAGAGTGAATTTTAGGCTGGGCATGAGGTAGCTCCCACCTGTAATCCTAGAACCTTGGGAGGCCAAGGTGGGAAGATTGCTTAGGCTCAGGAGTTTGAGACCAGCCTGAGCAAGAGTGAGACCCCATCTCTACTAAAAATAGAAAAATTAGCTGGGTGCCCTAGCATGGGCATCTAGTCCTAGCTACTGAGGCTGAGGCAGGAAGATAGCTTGAACCCAGAAGCTGGAGGTTGCTATGAGCTATAATGACACCACTGCCCTCTACCAGGGAGTGCCCAAGTGAGACTCTGTCTCAAAAAATACAAAAGAGGTGGCTCACGCCTGTAATCCTAGCTCTCTGGGAGCCGGCGGGCGGATTGCTCAAGGTCAGGAGTTCGAAACCA